GAGAGAAGCCGCGTGCTGCTTCCTGAAGGCTTCGGGTCTGAACTCCATTGGGCATCAGCTTCTAAACCTCTGGGGATCCAGAAGGTGGGTTTTGCCAAATAAACACGTAGCAATTGTATAACTAACTACAGTGACGCCAGAGAGTGCTTTTGCTGACAGAACACTGGACAAACACAGAATTCCTTTAAGAACAGAGGTACTACGGAATAGAGGCTTGATGCCTTCCTGTTGAGAGAGGAACTCATTTTTATATAAATCTGCCTTTGGGGGGGGCAGGACTGCTCAGGTCTAAGTGGAAGCCAAGGGCCACAACAGGCTGCTCCCGCCGCTTTCTACCCCGCGTCTCTTCAGCTCGGGGCAGTGCATTAGCCTTGCTAAGCCAACGGAGAGGGCGCGGCAGGGGAGGGAGCAGTACAGGGACGTGCAGTCGGCTGCCCATGTAGCCCTGATCTCCACGTGGAGTAACGGAAGTGGGCTGGAATGTCCACCACAGATGTGTATGTCATCCTGTGCAAGTACCCTGGAGCTCCATGGAGAAACTCGCCCCAAGGAAGTCGAGAAGGATCTGAACTGCACAACAGAGAAGGCCAGGACAAGGTCCCCTTTTATTACACCATTGACAAATCTGCCCCATGGAGCGGAGGTGGGAATTTCACTCCCTCCAGAGCGGTGGCACGCAGCAGCGTTTGGTGAGTTCGGGTTAGCACATTGGAAATCCCCTGAGCCCAGTCATTTGCCTCACAGCTCAAAGCCCCAGTGAGCCACAGGTCAAAACAGCCTGGAGGGGATGTTGGCTTTTCCAGTCTCCTGCCATGAGGCTGAGGGAAGGGATGGTGGAAGCTTGCCACGAAGGACTGAGCAGCCTCCTTCCCTTCCAGCTCAGATGGAATGGTGGGGTTGACCAAAAATGAGCAAGACGGCAGAAAGGAGGAGGCCTCAGTGTACTTCCTACATTTATCTCCGTAGATAACAACTCTACAGCAATACAGATTTCACCCCATAAACCCTAGGGGAGTGCAGCAATGGATTTGCAGCTCTGGGGGACGCAGGAAGCCACCCCACCCAGCCAGGCAGCAGCGGCAGGGGGTTTGCAGCCACACCTCTCGTACACGGTGCTGCCCACAAATCAGGAGCAAGCATCCGGGTGCCAACTGCTCCCATGAGCCCCCGCAGCTCAGGCTGAGGGCCCCAGCTCCCAGGCCATGCCTGCCTGTGCAGACGTGGCATGAGCTGCTCCTGGGCACGGAGGGACTGGGGTGCTGCGCCGCTGGGGTTTGCACCAAACCTCCCCCTGAAAGACGCAGGGCTCCCTGCCAAGAGGAGTGGGCCGATCCAGAGCCGTTGGTTGGCCTGGGCCAACACCATGGCGGGGTGCACCCCAAGCGGCATAACGATAGGGGTGGTTTCACGCTGGCATCCGGGAGTATTCCCAGACGCTTTTATAGGCTCAGCCTGATGAATCGCCAGGAATGGTTTATTCTCCCCATAGTTCTACACAATGATGTTTACCTCGACGCACAGCTCTGTCTCTCAGACTGCCGTCAGCTGGATGGAGACATTGACTCTGCCAATGAACCCCACAGAGGCATGGAGCAGGTCCCAGAGGAGCTGGGGTGAACCCAGGCTGTTCCCCATGCACAGCTCAGGGGAGCGTGTCCCCTGCAAGCAGACACACCGTGGGGATGACCCAGGGTCTCAGAAAGGCTCCCAGGGAGGTGCGGGCTGCACAGAGCCACTC